GTTTAACATTCGTCAAAACAGTTAGTAGATAGAAAGAGCACTGTCCCGAGAATACAGCGGGTGTGGTATGATATCCCATTTGATTGTTTCTCAATAATTTTTTGACAACTTTTGCGACATGARGCTGAGTGTTATCATGCAAAAGAATAACTTTGTCATGTCTGTTCTTATATTCCGGCCGTTTTCTCRTAATGCCCATAGAYTTTAAACGTACAGACCCTGCTTTTTGCTTTCAACCCCAACGTAAGTGCAAACTCGTCTTGCATTTGACTCAGATCTTTATCGAGTACTGCCTGCATTTCATTGTCTACGAATATTTTTGACTGTYCCAAACGATCTCTATCTTTAACRCTGAAATCAACACTTTTGAAGTGTCCAAATCATTCTCTACATGACTTGTCAATTAAACCATTGTCACCGTAAACTTCCRCAARCCTACGATGAGYTTCAGCTGCACTATWTTTCCAATTAAAAYGAAAAATRAAAACTTCCCACTAATGCTGTTTGTTATCATATAGTCTGAAATTGTCAACAGCGTAACAAAATACGTTTTGTATGAAACTCAAAATAATGCAAACTGGATGTTATCGGCAGATGTTCAATCTATCTAAAACCATGGCAATCAGTTGTTACTATTTCAAAATTGAATGCTTTTAGAGAGCCATTTTTGACAACGGACCAAATTAATTTGTACTCCCAAAATATATAGGGATAATTGTTTACCGCTGCAAAAAGATAGTGAGATATTACGATTACTCCTTTTACAGAAAGATTACAGGGTCTTATGCTTCTCATTATCAAAAATAGTAACATCTTTTGTGTTTTTAATGATAAAGAGTAAAACGGTATTTGACAGCTATAAAATAAAATGAAATAATGTAATTCAAAATAAAAATGAAAAAAATGAAAATACAACAAGTACTTACAGTTTTGTATAAACATCTGTATGATTGTCAATTAATTTTTGTCCAAGATAATAATAAGCAAATATTACAATCAAAGATCCAATGATATAAGATAGCTTAGCTAATTCTTCTCTCGTATTTAAGGTAAAAGAAAGTATTTCAAATAACTATGATAGAAAATAATTGTCTATAAATTTGCGAAATAAAAAAAATTTCAATTTTTTTTTTTGTTATGTGTTAACACTTTACTCACGTAAACGTAATCGATCATAATAATAATCGATCCGAATAATGCTTCGATTAAATAAACCGACTCGTAACACGATTTTATTAAATCTACAAAACTTGTAAAACAATGAAAAAAATTGTTTTAATATTAATAATATAATTAATAATATTAAATGTATAAATCAATAATAATAATAATAATAATAATAATAATAATAATAATAATAATAAATAAATAATAATTTTATAAATATTAAATCTTTAATATTGATTGAAATTTTGTATATGTCTATTAATTAGTTTATAATATAGTTTTATACAATTAGAGTATACTAACTTAATTGTATTAGTGTAGAATTGTATGATACCGACAATCCATTCACGTTCGTCCATTAATTGTCCATTATTTGAGTTATGATCAAAATTTTGTTGGATATTTTTGCATCTGTCATCTATCCTCCATCTGTGTTAAATCAAACAGTATTGCAATTGTTCTCGTAATATCATATTTAAGAAAGAAATGAAATCTTTACAATTTTTTCGTTACTTACGTAATAATATTGAACAATGCACATGCGTGTTGTATGATTGCTACAAACATAGAATAATTGGCTACCCCTAACATAAAAATAATACATGAATGCATATACTCGCATAAATATAAAATGAAGTAATCAATTTTATTTTTTGGTAAGTAATCAACTTCCATTGGATACAACAATTTTATTTCATTATTTCCACCAAAAGTATTCAAAAACATACGTAAAATTGATGGAAATAGAAGTAGAATAATATATAAATAAATACTGACTAAAACAGAAAAATAATTTTTTTCAATTATTTATATATACAGTGGGTGTAGAAAGTATTCGTATTCTGATCAATTTTCGTAAATGAAAAGATTCAACCTCGCAAATAATACCAGTGAAAGACCAATGTGTGTGGAGTACTGAAATCGAGTTATTTTTACAGGCGTAAGTAAATTTCATATTTTTTGGTCTGATGAACACTGCACGATATGAACGAAAAAAAAATGAAGAGATTAAATCAGAAAACTTGCTACCTACAGTAAAACACGGTGGACTTTCTGTACTTGTTTGCGATTGAACAATTTCAAATCTTTTTATTTCAAATTAATCTGTATACGAATACTTACTACACACAGTGTATATTAATAAGTAAATTTTATTTTTGATGAATTTTTCATTTACTTACTTGCAATTGTAATTGTACACCATCTGCTTACATTGGCGTATTTTTTGAGTATAATTAATTCCGGTCTATCTGCTAATTCGACCCAATCACATTTGATACGATGTAAAATATTCTGCATCTAAAATTAATTACGTGTAAAATAATTATTATAACGTACGTGAGCATATTTATTTAAAAAAGAACAAATATTGGGGCTACAAGTAAGTTTCCTGTTATTGTTTATAAAATTTGAGGGTTATTTTTAAAAAAATCGTTACATAATTTTCATTCGAAATATTGTCTAGCGAAAAATACAAATTTTAACCATCTTTCTAGCAATTTGTTAATTCTGGACCAAAAAAAGTTCTCGTCTTTTGAGCCCAAGAACATATTGAGCCAATCTTTGATTCCCTCTACTGAAGTGAAGCGCAATCCGGTAAGAGCGTTCTGCATCGACCGAAACAAGTGGTAGTCGGATGGCGCCAAATCTGTACTATAAGGCGGGTGAGGCAGAATTTTCCATCCACTATTATCCAAGTAGTTTTTGACCGAAACAGCAACATGTGGCCGAGCGTTGTCGTGGTGAAAAATTACGGACTCGTGTCTGGTCTGATATTCTGGCCGTTTTTCCGCCAATGCTCGCTTCAAACAAATTAATTGGGTTCGATACAACGGTCCTTTGATGGTTTGACCACTCGGAAGCAGTTCGTAGTATATGACACCCTTCTGATACCACCATATGCAGAGCATGACCTTATTCATGTGAATATTTCGATTTGGCTGGCTCGCCAGGCTTTGCATATGTTTTTTTGCGTTTAGGATTATCATAATAGATCCACTTTTCGTCACCAGTGACAATACGATGCAGAAACGACTTTTTTTTATGCCACTGCAGCAACATTTCTAACATGCAAACTCGCCGTTCGACATATCTCGATTTCAACTCGTACGGCACTCAATTTCCAACTTTTTGGATGAATCTCAAAGCTTTCAGGCGTAGGGAAATGGCTTGTTGTGTGACGCTCAATAATGCATCAAGCTCTTCTTGAATTTAAACCCGGATCCTAATCCAGCAAAGCCCCCAATTCCTCGTCTTCAAAATTTTTCGGTTTTCAGGAGCGCTCCTTGTCTTCAACGTCAGAATCACTATTTTTGAACCGTTTAAATCACTCACAACACGTCGATTTACCAATACATTCTGCCACGTAAGTTTCCAAAAGCTAACGATAGGCCTCAGCTACACTTCTGATATTCTTCATATCAATGAATAGAATCAGCGTTTTCTGCAAACGACGCTTATTTGGCACATATCTTGCCATGTTTTTGCTGCATAAAATATATGACGCCGATAGAAATGGGCAAATATGATGATGCAATGTTGTTAACAGATAGATAAGTCTTGAAAATGACACATGCGATATGACATTTCTGCATGAAATCTGCTCGTGACACCATCTATTAAAAAACACTGTAAACTTACTTGTAGACCTAATATTTAGATCAATATTTTTTATGAAAATACGAACAACTGCACCATTCCATAATAAATTGTAATAACATGATATAAAACACAAAGTAGGTAAAAATGTTTCCAGTAATTTAGCAATAGTATTAATTTTTAATTCTGACCTAAATAGCATTGCTGTCTAAAGCAAAATCTATTATTATTATTATTATCATTATTATTATTATTATTAATACGAAAATGAAAAAAAAACACAGTTGATTTATAATTTTGTCTTTTCTTAAATAAAAGTCATAATACACAGATATTATAATTAAAAGAATAAATCGCAACAACACTTACTTGTCCAAGTAATGGAGTAGATATAATAAAATTTATGAAACAAAAGTAAATCAATTGCTTGAATTTTGATCGAAATTGGTATAAACCAATTATTTTGAAAAAGAAACAATTGTAAGCGTAGTATTCGTTTCGAATACTGTCCTCGTCTTTTAAAAACATGTTACCGAATTTTGCAACAATCTAATTCCGAATGACTACAATCCTACACTTTGTAAATTTATTAAGTATTTTAATTACCCTATTTAATGTTATCTGAAAAATTAATGATTAGAGAACGTTACGATATTGTCACTGTATATCATAATTATTAAATTTTATAAACTCATACTTAACTTGCATTCTATGTCACATTCACTATTGCTTTTTTTCCCCGTTTTTTAATCAATTAGATGTAACCATGCAGGTGTCATTCTCACATTTACTAAGTAATTTTCCTATATACCCTTACATATTCAATATTTTCCATCCCCTTCCTTCGAAGACATGCGCGTTACGAACAACGTTCTTTATTATAAACTTATTCACTCGTATGGTTTATTTTTGTTGTAACGCAATATCGTTAACTTAATATGTCTATTATGACAATTACCTCCATTTTCGTTTTCTTTTATTTATATCGGATAAATATTCTTCTTTTTTTCTTATGGGACATTTTCTTCGAATAAGATTTTTAATACATATATTTAGAATTTCTTTTAAACAATTACATGTAACTATTCAATGCAATATTAAATTTAAACATATTGGGTGATTATAACAAGATATGTATACGTGGAATCATTTTTTATTACAACAGCTATAAATGCAGATTAATTAGCAAGAAATATATGAATATTGATGTTCGAATTTGCAAATCGTCCTCGAAACGTGTATCCAATAGATTTTTTCTGTTGTTAAGAAGAGTGTAGGGGGTATCAGGGAGAGAAGTTAGTAACGAATGATAATCAAAATGGATCACGTCGCAAGGCACGACCAATCGAATGCCTTGGCTGTAATCACACGTCACGTAGTCTATCCAATGGTATTGTCTCTATTTCGCGATCGCACATGTGGCCCACTTAATTGTCTTCACGCAGCTATCATATTACGTGGCCCAAACGGACGACACCCACGTCGGAAAAGGCGCACCACTTGTAGGGTCGTATTCCGTGTACTAAAACTGGTGCGTTGTCTGCCGAGGAGTATCAGTACGGCCCTGGTGTGAGACGACGCAGCCTGGTGAAAACAGAAAGTGTTTTTATATCGTCAGCGCTTTGTGTTTTAATCGCGTTTCGGCGCCATTGCCGCGACCGCCACAAATATAATTTCATTGCTTCCTCTTCTTCTTCTTCTTTCTTCCAAATAGGCACAATTGCCTGTTCCTCATCGCAACTTGCCAGGTGAGTCCAGTCGGATTCTGTGAGCCTGTTCTAACTAAGGTTTTTACGTCGTGCAGGGGTCTATACTTACCCTAATCTTTCACAACCCTAATCCTTTATCCATACTTGGGACCAGCAACTTAACCAAACTGAGCTATAACTCAATCCACCCAGTGATCATGCAGACGGATTAAAATGTTAACGAAGCAAAGGTGTTCCCAAGCGGGTCACATCCATCCAAGTACTAACCATGCCCAGTGCTCCTTAACCTTAGTGTTCGATGAGATCTTGTGTCCTCAGCATGGTTACCGTTAACAATTTTCATTTTATTTTATTGCAAATTATAAAATACCATGGCGTAGGAGAATGACGTTCGCATAAACTTAAAATCATTATTTCTATTTTAGTACAATATTTTATAAGTAACTATATTGTATATATATATAGGGTGATTCACCAGCTTTTGCCACCAAAATAGCTCCGAAAGTATGATAGTAACAGAAAAGTGGATAAAAAGACAGTTGCATGAAAAATTAAGAAGTACAATATGAAATTAATATTTTTTTCGAAGGTTGAGTCATTTTCGAGATTTATTTAGGTAACAAGAGGTGGTGAATCACCCTGTATTTAAGTATACATTACGTGTACAAATTAATTCGGTCCGTTTCTTTAGCTCAACAAATGCATTTATTTGAAAAGATAATTAATTAACAAATAAATCAAAATATTTTCCATCATTGCTCAAAACTTTTCTCCACCTCTTATGGCAATTCTTAAATCATATTTTGGAAAACTTCTTGTTTTTTAAGGCGGTCCAATTTTTAAGCCAATTTTTGATTTCTTAGAAAAAAGTGAAGTTGTTACCTGCCAAATCGTTTAACATTCGTCAAAACAGTTAGTAGATAGAAAGAGCACTGTCCCGAGAATACAGCGGGTGTGGTATGATATCCCATTTGATTGTTTCTCAA